CCGCGGGGTGCGGGTGCGGGCGGGCGAGCGACCGCGGCGGCCGCGAGACCCGGAGCTGGTGAGTTGCGGCGGGCGTCCGAGTCCATTTCCCGATCGCTGAGGTCGGCCAGGTTCAGGGTAGGAACCGGGAAGCAGCTCGGAGAGCAGGCTCCCTGGGGACCCTCCGTCCGGATGTCGCCTCTGTTCCCGTGTTTACTAAAAGACCTTTTAACGCGGAACTGGGGATCGCCCCTGCCCCTGTGGATGGCCTTGACCCCTTCATCTGCCTCCAGGAAGCCCAGGAGGCGGCTGACACCCAACGCTCCCACACACGTTGGCCCCAAACCACTTGCCCCGAGACAAAAGGGAGCCTCCACCAGGGGAAACTCTCTCAAGAAATCTTGGCCTAGAAACGAAAGCTTTCAGCGCTGAGAGCAGACCCGAGCCCAGGCTGGCTGCAGGGGTGGTGGAGAGAGAGAGGGACCTGCTGCTTCCTGGGGTGTGACCTTGGGCAGGCCTCTCTACCACCTGAGCCTGGGCGTCAGAGATGATTGGGCACCTGTCTCAGAGGGTGAAGATACCTAAGGTACCTAAACAGCCAGCAAGCACTGCATGAATATTGGTTTCCTACCTTTCCCTCTTGAACTCTCTAGCGGCCCCCAGGCAGTCAGAAGGGACAGGGGTGGGTACAGCTGGCCTTTGTCACAAAGTTGCTAGTTCGTCAAAAATCTAGTTGTCCTTTCCTTTCCCCAGGGAGCTGGACAGGATGGATTGTGCCCCAAGTTACTCCCGTGGGAATGCTGGACCCCCTCCCTCAGTGTGACCCCCATTATCTTGACACAGTGCTTGCTTCTTGTGACATTGTTTGTTATTAGCCTGGGCTGTTTGTTCAGTAGGTAACAAATGGACTCTTCTCAACTCAGAGAGCAGAGGAAAAAATTCCTCCTTAAACCCAGTATGTGACTTGTGCCCATGTAGCTAGGGTAGTCCTTCCTTTGTGCTCCCATCCCCCCAAACCCCCCAAAGCCTGGCTCTGTGCTGCTATTAGTGAGGTAGTTGGCATTTCAAAGCTGGAAGAAACTTTCACATTGTCTGATACACCAGCGCATCCCATAGGGGTGATTATGAGGTCTAGAGAGGTGAACATAAATGTTCAGTTTTATACTGGATGATTTAGGCAGGGCACTCTGCTTGTAGGCTTTTTTTTTTTTTTTTTTAAATAGCCAGGCAGGATAGCTTAGGGGTTGAGAGCAAGGAAGCCTCCCTGGGTTGCATTCCCACATCTGTCGCTCCTTCCTGACCGTGTGACACTGGGCAAGTGACCATATCACTATCAGCTTTCTCCTCCATAAATTGAGGAGAATAATAGTGCTGGCCTCTGGGGGTTTTCTGGGGATTAAATCCGTGAAGACCTAGGAACACACTTGAAGGAAAGCACCTGTGTCTAGAATATGACTGTATTTCATATGTGTCTGTCGTCACTGCATCACATCCTGGCCTTCATCATGATATTTTTAAAGTAAGATACTCTCAAACACTGGGCCACATTCAGCAGAGCTTCCTGGTGAAGGGTCCACGACTGCCCACTTTGAAGCTGGACAGGCTTAGGTTTGAGTCCCAGCCGTTTATGAGCTTTATGACCTGGAGCCCAGTGTCCTCATCTGTAAAACGGGATGTGACAGCCCGGCTGAGTAGTTGGGCTCAAATGAGATCGCATGCGTACATCCCTTAGCCTGGTTCCTGGGTCACAGTCTGGGCTTTGAAATGATAACTGTTGTCATTATAATTTTGATCCAGCCAAAGCCTTCAAAGAAGGAGAAGCCCGCCTCGGGATCAAGCATCAAAAGGTAGATATTTGTAGGAGGTGGCCTAAAACACACGGTGTCAGGTTTTAGTGAATAAATGAACAACGTTAGATGTCCCATCTGATTCGGATTCTAACCTGATTTTTTTCATCTCCACGTACGAGCGTTCTTGATAACATACGGTCTTCTCTCCCTCTTTCCTCCGTGTGACTGCACCCCGATTGTCATCGATGTCTGCCGGCAGAGCTGCGATTAATGAACGGCTTAGGGTGTATTTTTTTAAAGATTTTATTTATTTGACAGAGAGAGACGGCCTAGGGTTTAGTATCGCAGCTCAGAGGTCCTGTTCTCGTTCTAGGGCTGCGGTCTCTTTTATGATGGAGGGAAGCCGGCAGACGCGAGTGTCACGGCCGTACAAGATCAGCGAATCCTCAAAGGTCTGTGAGTAGTCGCTCTCCACCTGTGCACGTTGCCTCAGAGGGGTGGTGTTTTTCTGATGAGCTCATTCCTAATGTACAGACTGACTTTCTGTTCTTGGTGGTGGGGGTAATCTCCTTAATGATGAATAGAGAGGCAGCACGGGCAGGGGATGGAAAGCGTCCTAAACTCAGAGGAGTGGGGGGCAGGGGGAGACATTAGAGATACACCTCGACCCATTTGTTCTTCGCCTCAACCTGAAGAGGTAGATGAGGCGAAAGAAAAGCCATGGGATTTTGCATCCCTGGCTGTTAAGGACCCAGACTCTCCCCCGAGTCGTGACTTACTGGGAGCCTAGGAGCAAGTGAGAGTGGGTTCCCCAGGGCCAGGCTACCAAACTATGTCACATCAGCATTACCCCAGGAGAAGGTATCTAATTAGAAACGCATATGCCCCGCCCCACCCCAGAGGGGCTAAATTAAAATCTGAGAGCAGGACCTGGGAATCTATACCTTTAGCAGACTCTTCAGAGGACTTGGAGCAGCCCCTGTCCCCCAAGCTACTGGAGAAATAAGGATTGGGGGACCGATTTGCAGGGCAGTCTCTCTTTACACCTGTTCCTCTATAAATATTAATAACACCCTCTTTTCTTTAAAAGTGGCTCTTTTAGAGATTAATAAATTTTATGATTACCTTAGATCATGCATTTTCTTTTTTTCTTTTTTTTTTTTAAAAAGATTTTATTTATTTATTTGGTATAGAGAGAGAGCACAAGCAGGGGAGCAGGAGAGGGAGAAGCAGGCTCCCACTGAGCAGGGAGCCCAATGCGGGGCTCGATCCCAGGACCCTGGGATCATGACCTAAGCTGAAGACATTGCTTAACCAGCTGAGCCACCCAGGCGCCCCTAGATCATGCATTTTCAACGGAACCAATATTATTCCCAAGGGGGCAGAATTGGTTCTTGGGGATGCAGAAAGAATTCTACTGTTTTTTTGTGTGTGTGTGTGATTAGAGCACAGCTATACATATGGTTCATGCACAGATAATGCAGAATATGTGTGGTCTTAAAATTTCACGGGAACTGTTAGGAAAAAAATATCTTACAAGAAGATTGAAAAAAAAGATTAAGGAATAGCACTTTAGATAAAGGGAGTTGTGAGCAGCCTGTAGATTTGAAGGGAAAAAAGAGGGACAGAGGTTCTGCAGATGTGCATGATAGGAAAATGGGGTGTAATTTTCAGGAGAGGTTGGTTCTCCAGAGAAACGGGCTCCTGTTTCCATCTGAGTTCCCGAGAAGGCGCTTGCCAAGCCTGGCTTTATCTGCTGTGAAAACCCAGAGAGGTCTCGCGGCTGTCTCAAAGAGGCTTTGTTTCGGACCCTGGCTGCAGAGACAGTGTAGCTTTCTCAGTGTGATAGTGCTAGAAATCTTTGTCCCTTAAAGCCACATCCTGAGTTTGTTTCTGTCTGAACCTATTCCTTGGTTAGATTGTTTATGTTTCTAATGTTTTGTATTAAAGAAAGAACCCAAATGGTAAGTGTATCTTCAGTTTTCTAGATATTAAACACATCTCTGTAGCCAGCACCCGGATTACAAAAGAATGTTAGCAGACCCTCCCGTCCCAGTCTCCAGCTTCCGGGACTGGCATTTTGTCTGCCCTTGAACTTACTGTGAATGGGACCAGGGGGTAGGTACACCCGTGTGCCTGGCTCCTTTCACGGGTTAGTACGCTTCCGAGGTTCATCCTGGTTGCTGTGTAGTGGGAGGTGATTCCTTCCCAGTGCGCTAGAGTCTTACCTAGTGTGACGGCCACTGTTCATTTATCTGCTCTGAAATGTCTTCATCCGTTTTGATGGTGATTTTTTTTTTTTTTTTTTTAATATGAAATACCCTATACCTGCTGCATTCTGGCTAGGTTAGCTGCTGAGTGGCTGTGTTCCTTCACCCAGCTTGCCTTGCCTCTGATGAAGGCAAGGAAATAAAGGAATGAATAGGGTTAATACCATCAAAGAATGTAGGGGTTGAGCCTTCCAAATTATAGGAAATGCCTCGAGACTGTTACTCATGTCCCTTTAAAATTGGGAAGTCACGTTGTTCTGGATTTTTTTTTTTTTTTTTTGAAAGTGTTCATCTTTGCAGCTACACGAAAATAACCAGAAATGGGGTTGTAGTTGAGACCCAGGTGAAGAATGAAACATGCCTACTTAGCACGGAGACCCAGTTTTAGAAAGAGTGGCTGCTCTTCTCCCTGCCCCGGCTCACTGGAGCAGATGGTCCCCTCGGCAGCTGTCATCTGGGGCTGTTCCTCCCTCCCCACCCCGCCCCCTGGAGGGCTCTTTCTCTTCTTGCACTGCAGATGGGGGTCCTGTATACACCCATTTAAGTGTGGTGGTGCCACATCCCCACCAGCTTAGAGACAAACGGGGGGCCAGGTTGGGCAGCCTGCCCACTCGATGCCCCTCACTTCTCAGGATTCTGAGCCTTTGCTGTCACGAGATAGCCTGCACTGCCCTGGTGCTTTTACACTTCCTTTCTTTAGTCCACGCCCAAGAGGGGCCCCAAGCAAAAAAAAAAAAAAAAAAAGAGGGGCCCCAAGCCAGGGTGCGTTGGAGCCCCGGCCATTTCTGCTTCATTAGAAGCCCATACCAGGCCAGCCGGGCTCTCTCTGCCAGTAACCAGAATAGACCGAGAGACTGTACGGGACCTCGGAGGAACCGTCCGGTACCGTGACAGCTGCAGAGCCTGGCGCTTGGCACACTTGGAAGGAAGCTTTGGGCAATATCTGTCTGGTGTCCTCAGCGGAGTGTGAGAACGTGGCCTGCACCTGTGGTCTAGATGGGGTGATTGGTGTGGGAAGTGTCTGGACCAGGAGGGACCGGAGGGAAGTAAAGTATCACAATCACAAATGCGTTGGAGGCAGGAAGCGGAGAAGGAGATGAGTCCAATGCAGTAGGGCATGGCTTGAGAGGTGACCTGCAGGAATGCATGCAGGGAGCCCTCAGCCCGTCACCCCTCGCCCCACCACTTCCCCTTGCAGCCTTAGAGCCCAGCTAGCCCCTTTCCTCAAACACCCTCAAATAGGCCAGCAGCCTCGCAGATGTGTTTGGACAGCCTCCGTCTCCCTGTGCTGAATTTTGTGGTGTTTGTGAGGTAAACAAATCAAGCAGCATGCAGATCCTGAATGTCCGGAGCCTAATCAGTCTTCTAAGGATGGAAGAGCTGCTGTCTTGGTCTGACGGATCTCTGTATCCTCCAAAGCACATGGCAGGCCTACAGCACTCAGTCAGTGTCTCCCAACCTGAATTGATTGAATTAATCCATTTTAATTGTTCATATTTTTTCATTATTTTGTTAATTCCGATGCTGTATGGCAATGAAAAGTTTGGGCTCTGAAATCAGACCTACCTTCAAATCCCAGCCCTGCCACTCGGTCACTGTGGGACTTTGGGCAAGTTTCCTCGTCTCTCCGAACCTCAGTTTTCCTCATCTGGGAAATGGGCATGATAACTACATTCTGTCTCCTGAACTCCCATGCCTCATCCTAAACGCCCTCATCCTCACTCGTGAGACCAGGCAAAGGGGGCTGAGAGGCGGGTTGTGGCTTTCCTGAGATCACACAGCTAGTGAGCAGCAGAGCTGGAATTCAAACCCAGATTCTGTCCGAGTGTTGGCTAGGCTACATTTGAGCAACTTCACCGTCCTGATAGGACAGCAGGTTTCTTCTTTTTTTTTTTAATTAACATGTATTATTGGTTTCAGAGTCTTATATAATACCTAGTGCTCATTACATTATTATGCTCTCCTTAAAAGCAGTTTTTAGAGTTATTTGCTCATGTCCCACAGTAAGAAAGAAAGAAGGGGCAGGGAGAGAAGAAAGAAAAGTTCCAGGAATTCTATTTAGAAAGAAGAGAGGAAGGACAAGAGAGAGAAAGGAAAAGTAAGATTTTAAGAATTGTATGTATAAAGAAAGAAAGTAGGAAGGAGGGAAAATGCTAAGTTAGTTTTTAGAAACTGCAATTGATGTATCACTTTTTTTTTTTTAAGATTTTATTTATTTATTTGACAGAGACACAGTGAGAGAGGGAACACAAGCAGGGGGAGTGGGAGAGGGAGAAGCAGGCTTCCCGCCGAGCAGGGAGCCCGATGCGGGGCTCGATCCCAGGACCCTGGGATCATGACTTGAGCCAAAGGCAGACGCTTAACGACTGAGCCACCCAGGCGCCCCGTCACTTTTTTTTTTTTTAAGATTTTATTTTTAAGTAATCTACACCCAACATGGGGCTCGAACTCACAACCCCGAGATCAGGAGTCTCCTGCTCTTCTGACTGAGCCAGCTAGGCACCCCTTTAGGACTTGCGTTTGAAAAGGAAGAAGGGAAGCTACAATACACACACACACACCCCCCCACACACACAGAAACACCCTTACATCCTGCAGACTCTCTGATTTCCTGTTCCCCCTTCTCTTTCATTGTACTGTAAGTGCTGGCCGTGTCAACACTCGGACAGAATCTGGGTTTGAATTCCAGCTCTGCTGCTCACTAGCTGTGTGATCTCAGGAAAGCCACAAGCCGCCTCTCAGCCCCCTTTGCCTGGTCTCACGAGTGAGGATGAGGGCGTTTAGGATGAGGCATGGGGAGTTCAGGAGACAGAATGTGGTCATCATGCCCATTTCCCAGATGAGGAAAACTGACCCCAGGGCCCTGCAGCGGGGAGCGGGGCGGGGAGGGGCTAGGCGTGCTTCCCCCTGGGAGCCGACCCCTGAGCCGAGCTCTCTGCTGCTGCAGGTGTACCGCTGGGCCGACCACTCGAGCACGGTGCTGCAGCGGCTGAACGAGCAGCGTCTGCGCGGGCTCTTCTGCGATGTCGTCCTGGTGGCGGACGAGCAGCGCGTGCCGGCCCACCGCAACCTGCTGGCCGTGTGCAGCGACTACTTCAACTCCATGTTCACCATCGGCATGCGCGAGGCCTTCCAGAAGGAGGTGGAGCTGGTCGGCGCCTCCTCTGTCGGGCTCAAGGCCGTGGTGGACTTCCTGTACGGCGGGGAGCTGGCCCTGGACGGCGGCAACATCGACTACATCCTGGAGACGGCCCACCTGCTGCAGATCTGGACGGCGGTGGACTTCTGCTGTGAGTACCTGGAGCAGGAGGTGAGCGAGGACAACTACCTGTATCTACAGGAGCTGGCCTCCATCTACAGCCTCAAGCGGCTCGACGCCTTCATCGACGGCTTCATCCTGAGCCGCTTCGGCACGCTGTCCTTCACGCCCGACTTCCTGCAGAACGTGTCCATGCAGAAGCTGTGCGTCTACCTGAGCAGCAGCGAGGTGCAGCGGGAGTGCGAGCACGACCTGCTGCAGGCCGCCCTGCAGTGGCTCACGCAGCAGCCCGAGCGCGAGGCCCACGCCTACCAGGTGCTGGAGAACATCCACTTCCCGCTCATCCCCAAGAACGACCTGCTGCACCGCGTCAAGCCGGCCGTGTGCTCACTGCTGCCGCGGGAGGCCAACTGCGAGGGCTTCATCGAGGAGGCGGTGCGCTACCACAACAGCCTGGCGGCCCAGCCCGTCATGCAGACTAAGCGCACGGCGCTCCGCACCAACGAGGAGCGCCTGCTCTTCGTGGGCGGCGAGGTCTCCGAGCGGTGTCTGGAGCTCAGCGATGACACCTGCTACCTGGACGCCAAGAGCGAGCAGTGGGTCAAGGAGACGCCCCTGCCGGCCCGGCGCAGCCACCACTGTGTTGCTGTGCTGGGGGGGTTCATCTTCATCGCCGGCGGCAGCTTCTCCCGGGACAATGGAGGGGATGCGGCGTCCAATCTTCTTTATAGGTATGACCCCCGCTGTAAACAGTGGATCAAGGTGAGATTAAAGCCAGATTATTTCTTTACTCTTGACGGCTTTTTGGTCGCTTAACCTAGCCTTGACTGCCCCCCCCCTTGGCCACCGTCCCGCTTCTGAACGAGGCGTGACGATAAAGTGACGAGCCCCGTGATTCCCACGCTCCCCGGCGCCCGCACCCTGCACGGGGCGCGTGAGGGCCGACTGGCCTCCGTGTGCAGGCCAGGTCATTGTCCGGAGCGGTGCCTGCTCGCTGGTGGAACGTTCTGCGGCGGTAGAAACGCTCCACACCCGTGCTGCCCGATACCCGAGGCACCGGCCACACGTGGCGATTGAGCCCTCAAAATGTGGCCAGTGGGACTGAAACACTGAATTCTCTCTTTTATTTTGTTTTAACTGATTTACGTCTAAGCAGAAAGGCCCACGGGAGGCTGGAGGCTGCTGTGCTGGATAGTGCCGGTCTCGAGATTTGACCCAGAGTTCAAACCCCGTTCGCCTGTCTCAGAGTCTCCCTGCAGCCCCCTCTTTGGGAAGGGTTTGGAGCTCGTGGAGGGAGGCCACCGAGCCTCACACCTGCTGGCAGGTGTGGTGAATTCTGGCAAGCGTGGGTCTTGGCATCAGACCTGAGTTCACACCCCAACTTGGCTAAGTCATAGCTGTGGATTTCAGACTGGGCCTTGCCCTCCGAATTTCAGCTTCTGCCTCTGGAAACGGGGTGGGAGGCATTGTCATTCTACGATCAGAGGCTGTATGTTGCTCAGGGCGGTTGGCAAACGCCTGGCACAGGGAAGGTGGACCCTTCTCTCGTGAACACCTCCCCAGGCCACCACCCTAGAAAATCAGCCTGTCTTTATACTCACACCTCAGTGGGTTTTTTTGTTTTTTTTTTTTTAAAGATTTTGTTTATTTGTTTGACAGAGATAAACAGCGAGAGAGAGAACACAAGCAGGGGGAGTGGGAGAGGGAGAAGCAGGCTTCCCGCTGAGCAGGGAGCCCGATGCGGGGCTCGATCCCAGGACCCTGGGATCGTGACCTGAGCCGAAGGCAGACGCATAACGACTGAGCCACCCAGGCACCACCTCACACCTCAGTGTTTTTACTTAACTTGATGGGGTTTGTTCCTGGGCACAAAACACAGAATGGAGTCCAATGACCTTTCTGTTTTATTCTGGAAAAAAAAAAAAACACAAAAAAACCCCTAAAAACTCTCCTCCAAAGTCTGTGTCCTGCCACTAGAAAGTGGCTCCCAGCTTTGGAGCCCATCCTCAAAAGCAGTGTAGTGGTAGCAGCCTGAAGGTGTGGTCTCCTCCGGGACTGTGTTCGTTTCTCTGTTCTACCTGAATTATCTAAACAAAAAAATTGGAGTCTTTTGCTTTAAGTTTCCTGTTGATTGCTCTTAACACATAGCAATCAGCATTAATTTTAAAAGTCTCTCATGTGGGGAGGAGCAAAAGGAAAGATAAATTTTTATTACGGGACACCACGAAGCCGGTTTCTGAACTGTATGTTCCGTGGAACTCAAGCCCATGAGGTCAGCCACATGGCCAAACAAGTTAGGGGAACTGTGTTCTCCATCCCCTTCCTGGGGACTTGCAGTGCCTCCAGGGTCCTGGGAGCTCTGAGAAGTCCCTCTCAAGAGCCCCCTTTTCTTCAAGTTCGACTTCCTTCTCCCAAACACGCTTGGCCACCACTTGACCTTCCTGGGCTATGTGTTCCATAGAACCCATTTGGGAACTCAGTGCTCGATGTTGACATGGTCCACGTGTGGGCAAGGGAAGGTACAGGTGTCCCGCCTCCACAGGTAGCCTCCATGAACCAGCGCCGCGTCGATTTCTACCTGGCCTCCATTGAAGACATGCTGGTGGCCGTCGGCGGCCGGAACGAGAATGGAGCTCTTTCCTCGGTGGAGACTTACAGCCCCAAGACCGACTCCTGGTCCTACGTGGCCGGCTTGCCAAGGTGATGGGGGGCTCTGTGGCGGACTCTGCAAACGTGATGGTTTTGTCCACCTCATTTTCTAGATATTTTGACCTTCAATTCCAGGAAAAAAATCTCCTGGCTTGTAAATAACCGTGGGCAGACCATGGGGGCAGAGGGCGTGGTGGTGACCAGTCAGGGCTCTGGTTTCAGACCATCCGGGTGCACGTGTCTGCTCTGCCAATCAGGCAGATCTCCCTCAGTTTCCGAGTCTGTTCGGAGTTTCAGGGAGAGAGTATTAAGTTCAGATAGCAAGAGCTTTCCCTAGGAATGTCCCTGAGTGTGGGCTTGGGTTGTTCCAAGAGGTGACAGATCTGTGACACGAGCCAGAGTCTTCACCCCGCTCTCACTCCATCTGTAAGGGAAGGGAAGGGAAGGTGGACCCAGCGGCCGTGATAACACCTGCCCCATAGGGCTGTCAGGGCGAGATGTTCCTTAGAGGCCCCACCCCCCAACACACAGCATCCCGTACCCGGGGAGCGCCCGGGGCCCTCACTCCTCCTCAGGCCCTCCGCATCGAGGTCTGCACTTAGGAGCACTGGTCATCATTGCAGATCTAGCAGAAGGTGTTTGCCACCGATTTTACCAGCTCCTTATAGTTGAACCTGCAAACACGCTTTGTGAACAGTCTTGCCGTGGGGCATGCGCAGCTGTCTTGCATGGCTCCTGGGGAGCTAGAAGGACGCGTGGCGTAAGCCGCAGGTTGTGAATCCCAGTCCTGCAGTTTCTAGTTGCTACCACCTTCGTGTAGAGGTTCCAAAAAGGCGATGGAGTAACACCTCAGACAATCGGGATAGTGGCTCCTGATTAGCCCGTGCCATCTCTTGGGCCAGGTGCTTTAAGTGACGAGTCCCTTGAGCCCCACAGTGACCTGGTGGGGTGGAGGTAGGCGCCCACATAATTTGTCATCCAAACCAGGATTGGCAGTGAACTGGGGAGGTTAACAGTGTAAATACCGACGGTGTTGTAGGTAAACCAAGACCTCTGGTCTCTCTGGGTTTAGGACTGTTGTTTCATCATCCCACTTCACAGATGGAGAAGTGAGGCTTCACGGTAGTCCTAAGAGCATCTGCTGCCGTCACTTTCTCTGGGCCAGCTGGGGTGACTTATGTACCTCAACGCTACAACAACCCTGGTTTTTTCTTTCTAAATGGGCCTGAGCTGCACGGGATTGGAGTCAACATAGCCCATGACGCTGTGATCATTGGTGTGTGCGTGTAACGGGACCTCCATGAGCCCGCAGCCCAGCCCGAGAGCCGCCCCGGGCTGCCCTCCCAGATGCTCCCCTTCCGCCGCCCCCGGCCTGCCCTGTGCAGCCACTCCCCTGAATCACCTCCCCTTCTCCTGTCACCTGTGTTTCCACTTGGGTTCTGTTCTTTTCTCCTCGTTTTTATGTCCACTGCACTTCTTAGAGAAAATTAAAAACAGCAGAAGGTCCAGATTGTTCCATAGACCTTGCCCGCAGAGCATCTTTCCCCGTTGGTAACCTCTTGAAGTCGCGAGCAGCGACCTGTTACAGCCCGAGTGGCTGCAGCACCTGAAGGGGGGTCGCCCCGAGTGAGGGCTCGCTGTCTGTGTTGTACGTTCTGTGGCTCGGGACGAAAGTGCGGGGATGCGTGTCCCCAGCGTCGCACAGAGGAGGTTCACGACCCTGAGGCTCTCTTGTGCGCCACCCATTCGTCCCACCCTTACCGCGAGCCCCTCGGATGTTTCACTGTCCCTCTGGTCTTTTCCAGAATGTCGCAGAGTTGAATTGTACTTTGTTTGGTTCCCGTTTGCGGTATAATTTGATCAGGTGCCTCTGTGTGCCTCGATTGCACAGCCTTGTTTTCCGCTCCTCCAGGAAGGGTCAGCCTCGTAATTGTCCCCACTCCCGGGCGGGGGAAACGGAGCGCGGGGCAGAGCCCAGGCGGCGTGATGCCGAGCCGCACGTCCGTTTCCCCACCCGGCTCTGGCACGTCTTGTCCCGTGACCTTGTCCAGTGTCTGTAAAGTGTGCATGGCGTGCCTGCTCCCTGCGTGGTCCCCTCAGGTCCCCACTGCCTCCCGTCTTCCCAGAGAGCGGGTTGCCCCCCCCCCCTTAGTCAGGGGAAGAGAGCGCAGGCCCGGCGCCAGGAGGTCCCATTCCGGGCACGGCCCTGAGCCTCCTCTCTGCCTCTGTCTGTCCCCACCCCGGCTCCCCGCAGGTTCACCTACGGCCACGCGGGCACCATCTACAAAGATTTCGTGTACATCTCGGGGGGCCACGACTACCAGATCGGCCCCTACCGCAAGAACCTGCTGTGCTACGACCACCGGACGGACGTGTGGGAGGAGCGGCGGCCCATGAGCACAGCGCGTGGCTGGCACAGCATGTGCAGCCTGGGGGACAGCATCTACTGCATCGGCGGCAGCGACGACCGCATCGAGTCCATGGAGCGCTTCGACGTGCTGGGCGTCGAGGCCTACAGCCCGCAGTGCAACCAGTGGACCCGCGTGGCCCCCCTCCTGCACGCCAACAGTGAGTCGGGGGTGGCCGTGTGGGAGGGCCGCATCTACATCCTGGGCGGCTACAGCTGGGAGAGCACGGCCTTCTCCAAGACCGTGCAGGTGTACGACCGCGACAAGGACAAGTGGAGCAAGGGCCCCGACCTGCCCAAGGCCATCGCCGGCGTGTCCGCCTGCGTGTGCGCCCTGAAGCCGCGGCTGGAGGACAAGAAGAAGAAGGGCAAGGGCAAGAGGCACCAGGACC